AATTATAAGTTATAAAATTAAAACTATTTATATCATATTTTATCTTGTTTATAATCATTAACAAAATAATCTTATAATAATAAGAAAATTTAATTAATTAGTTAATAATAAGAATTTATATTCATTTTCAAAATCTATTATTAGTTATTTAATTCTTTAAAATTTAATTAATTTTACTTTATTTTGCTTTAAATTTTTTAAATTATTTTTAATAAATAATTCTTGTCTACTTATTATATATATCTTACTAAACTTTATATAAAGCATATAAAGTTTATTGCAAATTATATTATCCTATATATTAAAGATATTATTTAATATAAAAAAAATGATTTTTATAATATATTAATAGTTTATAACTATTATTACTTTTATTTAATCTAATTTATTAAATAATTTTAATCTAGAAAAATAAGAAATTTAATAAAAATAACTATCAAAGTTATTTAGTAATTCTATTTCTCTAACTTTTTTCAAAATATCTTGAATGAAATTTAATCAATATTTAAAGAAACAAGACTAATATAATATATATAATTAAAATATATAAACTTTATAAATATTTAAGTTTCTATAATAATTTAATAATTTTAATTAATTATAACTCAAAATTATTTAAAAATAATTATAAAAGAATTAGTATTCAAATACTCATAAGAATTTTTAAAAGATATTTTTAATATTTATAATATTTATAATTTATTATATTATATATCTTTGAATATAAATAATCTTTAAATATAAACAATTATCTCTTTTTAAGATCTGAGATTCTGAAAATATTATATATAAAATATAATAAATTTATACTCAAATATAAGTAACCTTCTCTTTATTCTATCAAAATCTTATATTTTTTGATTACTTATATTTGGAAATATATGATATATTTTTTGATATTTTAAAATTCATATTTTTTAATATAAAATTCATATTATAATATATCTATTAATATTAGTTAGATAATTTTGCTATCTAAAAAAAAAACTATTCTATTGTTACGAATGTTGTTCCAGATGTACAAAATGGTCAGAATACTGTCAAAAAATAAGTGTATGGTAGATCGATGATCTATTACTATTTAAAAAATTCATTATCGTAAAGCGTGGTCTTAAGTACCACCTTCGACAATAGTACCCTCCCTCCGTAGTTTTGTGAGCGGTTTTTGTATAGTTTCCGGTATTTTAATAAATTGTTTAACCCTTAAAATAGCACTCGGGTTCGAGAAAGATGTATTACACCGGGTACTTGAACCACATTTTACGGTAACATCTTCATCGATCAGGTGTCACATTCATATCAGAAAAAGTACGGGTTTTCGGACGCAATTAGAGAACTTTAATGTTAATTGTAGCAATATGCTGTATCGTTATAAATCCCTAGAAATTGACTTGAACAAATACATGTACACATACGTACCAGTGAATGTGTAAACTACGCATTTTTAAGTTTATAGCGATAGCATTTTCAATTTCTTTATACTTCCAGAAACAGATCAATGCCATTGGATGCTAGAGACCTATGCATTATGAGTAAAAGTTAATGATTTAATGAAAAACACGTCATGCCCGTTTAAAGCAATAAAAATCGATCTATGCTTACTCTTTTAAATCACTATGATTTGACTAGTGATTAATTTTATTGTAAATAAAAAAATCATTTAACAATTCGTTTCTTATTTTCATTTGATAAAAAGAAATTAAAAAGAAAAGATGGAATATTACAAACGTCGGGCAAATAATCTTAATAACCTTAGGGGAGAAAAAAGTATAATCCAAGTATTACTTTTATTCCAGAAACTTATTTAGGGATATAAGTTTTCAAATGTCCAATCAAAATCAAAATAATTTTTTTATTTCAAACCAAAAGATCTCACTGGAGATGGCGATAGGAATAATACACAAGATTATGAGATACGTCAACAACCAGAATCCTATGAGATATTCAAACCTCGCGGATGTATAATTCGCACTGAACTAAAAAAAATTGTCACCAAACCGACAAATTTCGCCATGGATACTTATGTCGATATCCATTTAGTGTTGATGTTGCTTGTTGTGGAACATGTAATTTGCTTTAGTTTTAATGGATCGAAGGATAAAATGTGCATTCATTTTGATGATATTTACGCGGTGCGCTATGCTGAGTTTAGAGAATTTGAACTCTATTTGAAGGATGGCTTCAGGAGAACTGTTTGTATTTTATTTTTTATTGAAGGTTCAAATCTTTTTATTTCAATTTTTAGAAATATTTATTAATAATCAATATTTCCATATAAAGTTTTATGAGAAAAATAAAAAAGTTGATTTAGATTTGACTAATGGCATTTTTAATGATGCCACTTCGATTATTGTCGTTCCGGTGGCAAATTTTCCTATGGAACCATTTGTCAAGATTGAGAATGACTTTAAAAATTATAAAGCGTCAATGGCATTCGCAAATACTAAAGTAGGTGTTTATAAAGAAGCATCATAAATAATTAATATTAATTTGTTAAGGACAAATCTGAAGCTTGAGTGATCTTAGAAAAAGCTAATTAATGAACAAGATTGCAACATTCGAACGGAGGATAACTTAGAAAGTTGTGAGGTAAAAAAAATTTCTTGTGTTTAAATATTTGAATTTGTGTTTTCTAATAGCTTTGATATAATCAAAAAAGTTCTGTGTCGTTGTCGATTTTCAAGTAGAACGTTATTCAATAACAATTCCTTGGAACATCGATTATAATCAGCTTATAAAAACTTTGGAAGACGTGTCACAAGTACAGATTAAAGGTTACAACAGTAAAATGTACTATAAAGACGCGAAGAAGCAAAATGTGTCGTTACTTTATGACGAAGACTGGAAAATTGCAAAGGAATTATTACGAAAAAATCGTAAAGGTGGAATTTACATTGGATTTGGATATACTACCTCTTTTTAATTATAATATATATCGCTGTTATTTTTTAATTGCATTATAAGAAAAGAATTACTTAAGGCTGTAATTATTTTTGATAATTACAAAATTAAAGGGTATTGTCAGAATTTAAAAAATATATTTCATTTTCATTTGTTATATGAAATATATCGATGGCAAACTATGTCTAGCTATTTTAACCATAACAACAACTGTTTGTCTTCCTTTCAATTCATTTAAATTCTTAATCTCTATTCACAACAGTTTTAATTTCTATTTTTTCCTTTCATTGTACTTCTCTTTATCCTTGTTTCAATTTCATATTTTTTCATCAATTCATATTTCTTTTTCATTAAAAATAGGTTATACTGAATTTCATTACCGAATTCCTTTCAAAAATAAAATTATGGATATTATTGCTACAGAAAACAGTTGATGTAATTTCTTCAAAGTTCGCTGTAAATGATGGTAGTTTCGAAGTTTTGGCTGTTATAATTGACTGCATGATATTTTAGTATATATTGAAAGCAATTGATATGCAATTTACTCCTTTGGATTTTTTGTGAGGCATTTCAAACGGCCTATAAAAATTTGCAGCATATACTCCTTTACATCCAGCACTGTTCTCTATTTCATGCTTGTCAAATTTTGATCCTAAATATATTCAACTTGGTGATGTATCAAGAAGAGATATTCGTCGTTATTCAGTTATTAAGGAACTTAAAATCCAGCAGATGCGATGCTTCAGGAAATATTGGTATCAATATTAGATGAATTCAAGTGTGCAATTACCACTTTATCTAATATCTCACTTGATTATATTTGGCTTCCGATATCTAATTGTAATGTTGAATGAAGTTTTTCATTATATAATACTCTTTTTGATAATAACCGACAAATTTGTCTAAAGATTCCTTAAAAGCGTTAACGTTAAATATGATGTATTTTAATGGATTTTAAATATGTATTCATAATTTTTACATTTTTTTATTTTTTAAGCAATTTTATAAGCCAATTATCTTTTAAGCATTTAGTATTAATAAATCACATTTATCGCAGAAATGCACAAAATTAGTTAATACATGTAATGAGATCAAAGCGGTCACCGAATTATGTTTCAGAATTTGTCTTAACAGCACCTCAGAAAATCATCGTCCCTGACACCACTCATCAATAAGATCTCACTACCATATATATCACCGTGGGTGCCATCCAACATCCCGAAATTCAAACCTAACTCTCGAAAAACTGGTTCAATTTCTGGTTTATGTCTGAAATTGGGTTTGACGGGCAGTTAAGTACATGTATATCGGGATTTTAGGTTGTCGGGATGTTAGGTTGTCGGGATGTTAGATTGTCGGGATGTTGGATTGTTGGGATATTGGGGTAGACCCATTACTATTACCATACAATGAACAATCTAAAATGACAGATCAAATATCATTACAAAAACACAAGAGATAAGAAATTTGAAGGAGATAGAATCAATGGAAAGAGAGATGACTATTAAGAGTATATTGAAAAGTATTTGAATTATCAAATGATGAAATAATGTAATTGAAAAAATTATTTCACGGATAGGAGAATAAATAGTAGAAACTACTTGAAGAATATGAGATAACGATTATTTTATAGTATGATTTCGCTTCCATCCTCTATAAAGTATTCATCTTGAAAAAGCATCTCATCTTCCTCATTAGTATTAATATTATTTCTTTCTCCTTCATATAAATTCGGTACAATTTCCTCATCAGCAGCATCATGCATTATTGCAGAATTGATGCTACTTACTCCCGTTTGTTCATGTTGGAATTTGCACGTCAACATTTCATTGTTAATGAAATGTCTTTCTGGTTTCAAAATATTAACATTATTGATTATGTCTTTATGCTTATTGTTATTTTCAATACTTCTTTTGTTAACGACGATTTCGTTTTCTTTAGAAGGATATTTTTCTTCAGGACAAAGAATGCCATTGATGATTTCGTCGAATTTTGCCTATATTGAAACCACTTGTTTTCTAGTAATTGTGTAACCAAAACTTTGAAATTTTCATCTTACCAGACGTATCTCATCAATCCAGCCACCAAACAAATCAACGCGCTCTTTATGCGTCATTCGAAGAAATTCTAAAAGCGTGGTCACTGTCAGAATAATTTGTGCTGAAAACGCATTAATTAATGGACTAAAACTTGTCAAAAATCGTTCATGCTACATTAATTAAATGAAAGATTCTCAGAAATTTGTAGATTTAGGTTCATAGAATTTAAAAAAAAATTCACACACAAGACTTTCTTCAGCTGTCATCCATTGTCTCGACTCCCATTGTCGCCTAGAATTCCAAGCTTTCGCATGATAGTTTGTTTTTTCCTCTCCTTCATCGCCGTCATCATTATCGCACTTTTCAGCACAAAAATCTCCAACCATTCTCACATATCTTGCAGAAATCTTTTCACTCGACGAAAAAAATATTTCGAAGTTGCACTCACAACTTTCCAGAATTGCTAACAGCTCATTCATTGCTTTTTGGTTTGGCGAGGTAAAAGGATATGGTATAAGAGAGGGTTTGGTTGAATCGCTGATGCTAGATTTTTGATTCCATACATATGTTTCAAAAACCAAATACAAGTTTGAATATTTTTTATGTAAGTGAAGTATCGAAAGAGCTGTTTCTATGCTTGACTTTTTATTTGATGCAGAGTTTTGTTGGGAAAGTTGTAAGAGCGAAAGGAAAATTAGCGCTGATTTTTCGTCTAAAATTAAGTCTGCATCGATATGTTTAGTGGCGGATATATTATCTGGTAAAATTGTCTGAATAATCAAAAGACAGCATTTTCAGTATTAGACTACACAAATTATTCCGACATTAATAAAAGGCGACTTACTCTCAAATATTCAAAATCACGCTCAATCAATTCAACTTTGCAGTCTTCACTTCTTAATGCTGTCACAAAAGCATGATTTTGCAAAAGTCGGGATGAGATAATATATTTATGTGTGGTGATTGGTATGGGCAAATGAGCGTAAAAGCTCTCAGATTGAGATGCTAATAAAATGAATACTTTAAAATTTCGTTAAATGAATTGACGCTATCTTCATATTAGCACCTACCTGACTCTTGTTTTTGCTGGCATATTGAATTGAAAAAACTTTTATTTGAAGATGGCCTGGAAATAATGCTCTTTTGTTCATGCGAAATATGCTCTAATTTATTTTATTGGATGTTAATAAATATTATAGCGAAATCAAAAACAATTTTAGCATTCTTCTTACCTGACATTTTACTCTTGTTCTTTATCGTTTTACCTCTCAACGCTAAGAATCCGTCAATAGCTCTAGCTGCCGAAAAACTTTCCGTGAAATTAGAGCCCGTCATAATGTTTGAAGGATCAGTATTATTGAGAAATGATAAATTTCTTTTTTCTGTATTTACGGAATTGGATGATACTTCATCAAAACTAGTTTCTGAATTTTCTCTTTTGATAGTGATAGAGTTTGGTAAACATTCAAGTTCGTCTTGTTGATCAATGCTTTCTAGCCATTTAGTGACTCGGTTCTTTCGTTCGGATATAATAAGTTTGTTTATAGGTTCAATGCATGAACTGCTTTCAGGAGTCAATTCTATTATCGCAGCTTGAGAATTTATTTGTTCTTTTTGTTCTTTTCTATTACTTTCCTCAGAATATGGTACTGTCGGTTTTTCATTATTTTGTAAAATCACTTCATTCTTTCTTGCTATTAATCTTTTATCATCGTCAATTTGATCAATCATTAAATTCAAATCATTCGTAAGTTTAACTATGACATCGCACCAACATTCTTTCTTCATCGTTCCTTCAGCAGCCTCCTCGGTAATCCATTCGACATTAACTGCCTTTTCAATAGATAAGATAGTGAGATTATTTATTGGATTCCAACGCAACGCAAGTTCAAATGTTTTTATGCCAGTAAACGCTACTAAATATTGTTGCAAGTCGGGACATAGGTTTCTGTTACGACGAGCGACTAGGTCCGATAATCGCGACGGAATGAATGGGCATTTTAGTGAACTTTTGAGTTTGGCGATGATCGGTGGATGTGGTAATTCTGGAACTGGGATTTTTTGTCATTATTTTTATCTAAACTTCGAAATATCATTATAATTATTATTACCTTCAAATTTCAGCCCACCAATTTCGTCAATTGTTTGTTCCAAGATTAGCGTCTTCCACTCAGTATCTTTAACTTTTGCTGCAAACAATTTTTCCATGTCGTTAATAAGCGATTCAGCTTCTTGGTCGAGTGGCGAAACTTCTAATGTTTCTTTTTCGAAAGGAACAGCAGACTTGATTGTTTTGGTCAAAGAATTCATCCTACGCGAACATACAATCACATTAACAACATATTTAAATTATGACTATCATATTTAAAATAACTAAAAATTCATACATTGTCAATTCATAAATTGATGCTCTCTCTGAATCTTCTTTTGCGTTTTTCGATTTTTTGAATCTAATTAAGACAGAACCAAATTATTAGTTCATAATTAATGCAAAAATATGTTAATGAACTTGCCGTTTTTTACGACTGTTTGCTCCAGTAGGATCTTTTTTCGCCGGGATTAAAACAAGTTCTATTCTGAAATATAATATTTTTAATCTATTACATTTGACCTATTGCATTTGACAAAAGCCAACCTAATTGCATATCATTGCAAGTTGTCGTGTCCAATTCAACTGGCACTTCACTAAAACATGTTGAAATTGCTACTTCTGACTGATCACTAATTCCCTCTAAAGAATAATAAGAGGGAAGCAAGCCATATTTTCCAACAATAACTCGCAAAATAAAAATTTAAAATAATATTTTTACCCCATTCATTCACCCATTCTAATGGCGCTTTAATTCCTTTCTCTTCGGGCACCAATTGATCTCTAGTGCTCTCGTTCGAAAATGATGTTGAAAACGCTTCGTTGAACTCTTTATCCACCAATGGCATAATAACTTCACTAAAAGATTCTTGATTTTTCATATGATAGTCTTTTACAGGTATTAAAAATTCCTCAAGATACAAATCGTCCAATCGAGTGTCGAACGAAAAGGTTTGATAGAAGTTAGCTTGTTGCAATTTTTGTTGCTCTTGTAAAATAGAGGTAATGTATTCGATTTCTTCTTTTGTGATATTCGGATTTAGATTGCTATTTAATTGTTTTAGAATACGTGAGTATATACATGTATATATTTTTCAATTCGCAAATAGAATGTGCAAATTTTTCTATTATCAAATTACCATAATTCTTCAATATACGCGTTTCCTCGTTCTATTGTCACTTGCTCTTCACTCTCAATGATTTCAAATTTAGGCAATCGCTTAGATAACTGCATTATATTGAGCGCAGTATAATTTTGCAACGGTTTTATCTCTTCGACATGTCTCGGAAACAACGGCTGTTCTAAATAATAATTGCTTGTTCCTTTTGCTGCGAAGATAAAATTTGGATTAAAATAAAATTCGAGCAAATTTTCACAGAAACCTTCATTTCTATATTATCTCATAAAGAAGGCTTTACAATTGCAAACTGTTTCGACTCCTGAAACCTGAACGTCTTTAATTACTTCCTTCAATAGCATTACTGCATTTTGATCTTCTATTATCCATTTGCCAATATAATTATCTATGCGATTCTTAGATTCGCTAATAATCGATTCTTTGACAGTTTTCGATAGAGTAAATGGTTCGAGTCCGATTTGTGTGAATAATATCTGAGTATAATCTTTTTAT